TGGTTCTCTGTTGCCGCTACCAGCTGGGTGGTCTGCCCACTTCATCCGCCACCACCCCCCCAGTCGGAGCCGCCTCCCCCCCATCCCTGGAAAGAACCGGGCTCCCTTTACCTCGGAGGGGCTCTTCCTCATCGGTCCTCTCTTCCCTCCCTGCTCTACCCGGCCTGGTTCGTGTCTCCCAGTCCCTCCAGTTTCGGCCCAAATACCCCTCTCTTTGACGCGCAGCCCCAGACCCAATCCAATTTTATTAATCACTCTGTGACCTCTCCCTCTCATGGGCACTTAGCACAACGTTAACCCTGCATTTTTTCTGTACTGATCAGATCAGTCAATGGGGGCGTGCACGTCTGTGAAGGATTCACTTATGGCGGGCCCCTTTGGCCAATGGAAAACTCCAGTCCAGTAAACTCTTCCCAAGTGAAGCCAGTCGTGTCCACCTTGGCTCCACCTACCCCTACGTCTATCCAATCATGTGCCAGGGTAAGGGGCACCGTCTTATAAAAGGGGAATGCGATGGCCAAAAATCCAGTAGGCTTCCTGGAGGCTCGGAGGAAGGACGTCTGGAGACTGAGGTCTGAGCTACAGTCGAGATCTGTGGACACTTCTGGACCCCCGGCCCCTTGGACGCGCCTCCTGAAAGGGTATCCCGCTCTCCAGTTTTCCAGAGCCAGCTGCGAAGAATCCAACAGCGGGACGTCAGGTAAGTGTCCGGTGCCCCTTTTTGTTTTTAAAGTTTATTTATTTTCAGTGGGGGGTGGTGGAGGAGAAACAGAGACAGAGAATCCCAAATAGGCTCCCCCAGCGCGGGGCTCCGTCCCACCAACGCCAAGGTCATGACCTGAGCCGACACGGAGTCAGAGGCTTAACCGACTGTGCCAGGCGCCCTCAGTTACTTTCTTTTGAACAATTTCCTGGTTTTTATTTTACTTTTTGGCATTTACTTAGGTCACTTAGAGGTCCCAATAAGGCACTGAGGAAAAACAGCCGCCTCTGCTACTCCCCAACTTCTCACACCTCAGAGACCACCATTTTCACCCATTTGGCTTCTTTTAACATCACTTTCTGTTTTCTAAATACCATGTTTACACTGTTTCTAACTTGTTTTTCCATTTTAGACTTTATTTATGGTCTTCGCTCTATGGGAGAGAAGTCATTAGCCTTAGTTCCCGCATTCCCACCCTCCTCACCGCTAGGCACCCTCGCCCCGCCCACGCATTCCAGCCACACACCCCTTCGGCCCCCCACGTCCCCCCAGAATTTCACATTCAAAATGGGATCATCTGGTCGACCAGGATTACTTCTTCCTCGAGTACACCTTGGATTTTCAAAACTTAATACTTGGGCTTTTAGTTGCTGATTGACCACTAATCCACTGTCACTCCTACCCATTGTTTAAATTCAGACTTAACCGGGTACTTATCAGTTTCATCTTCCGGTGGCATTACTGCCACACCCTTTTACCCTGCTCCAGCCTAGACTGGCTCCTCTTAGCCAACTCCCAGGCTGCCATCTTAGGACCTCCCTTGACCATCATCTGGGGAATTCCTTCCCCACTTTGGCATTTTATACCCTCTTAGTCGTTTTCTCTTTCTTTTTCTCTCTCTTTGGTGGAGCAAATCTTCTAGTAGCATTCCTGAGGAAACATGCATCCAAAAAAATTCTTTGAGACCTTGCATGTTTAAAAGTATCTTTGTTCTACCCTTCCTGGTTCATGATAGTTCGGTTGGGTATTGAATTTTAGGTGGGAAATCCTTTTCCCTCAGAATTTTGAAGACACTTCTTCCTTCTATCTCTCTTTCTATCTCTCTCTCTATGGAAGTTTTTAGGATCTTCTCTTTGTTTTCAGAACTCAAAAAAATTTTTTTTATAATTAACTTTGGTAATACTATGCCTCTAATTTTCTTTTTATTTTATCCCCTTATTTTTCATTTTTATCCTTTTTTCTTGGGGGATTTCCTCAACTTTATTGTTCAAAATATCCACGGAGATTTTATTTTATTTTATTTATTTATTTTTAAATGTTTTATTTATTTCTAGGATAGAGAGAGAGACAGAGACAGTGTGAACAGGGGAGGGTCAGAGAGAGAGGGAGTCACAGACTGAAACAGGCTCCAGGCTCTGAGCTGGCAGTCAGCACAGAGCCCGACGCGGGGCTCGAACCCACGAACCGCGAGATCATGACCTAAGCGAAAGTCGGACGCTCAACCGACTAAGCCACCCAGGCGCCCCAAGATTTTATTTTTATTTACTTTTGAATTATTTACTTTTGAAAGAGAGAGTGAACACGCACACACATATGCATGAGTTGGGGGAGGCAGAGGGAGAGAAAGAATCTTAAGCAGCCTCCAAACTCAGTGAGGAGCCTAATCACAGTCATGAGATCCCCTCCATGGAGATTTTAATTTTTGCTCTCACAATTTTAATTTCGAAGGGCTCTTTTTTTGTTGTTGTTGTTTTCTGAATGCTTCTTTTAAAAGTGCCTTTTAATTGGGCGCCTGGGTGGCTCAGTTGGTTGAATGTCTGACTCTTGATTTTCAGCTAAGGTTGCGATCTCACAACCGGTGGAATGGAGTCCCATGTCTGGCTCTGTGCTGATGGCATTGAGTCAACTTGGGATTCTCTCTCTCTCTCTCTCTCTCTCCCCCTCTCTCTCCCTCTCCCTCTGCCCCTCCCTTGCTCATGCTTTCTCACTTTCTCTAAATAAACAAACAAACAAACAGTAAAAAAAATAAAATGAAAGTATCTTGTAATTGAATCATGGGCATCATTTCTTCTCTTCTCTCTTAAAAGGTATTAATGATATATATTTTTTGAAATTTTCACCTATGGGATAAGCTACTTCTTGCTAGTTGCTTTTGTTTTTGTCGGTTTCCTGTCTCATGTTAGTCTCTCTTCTGAGGTTGATGACCCCTTGTTGGCCGCTCGTATTGAAAAAGGGACCCTGAGAAGCTGAATGGCAGCTCTGGGCTAACAAATGGGGCCTGTTGACTGGGCTCTGCAGAATTCGGCAGGGCTGCCAAATTGGGGAACCCCATGTGCCACTTTCTTGGTTTGTTTTTTTTTTCTCTTAGACTGCAGATGCTATCCAACGCCATTCAGATGCTATCCAATGCCAGCTCTGTCATCAGCTACATTTCCATAGATGGGTTTCCAGTCTGGGCTGTCTATTCCAGTCTCTTGCTCAGTCATTTATCTCTGTTTGAACACCACACTGTCTTCATTCTTGTGGCTGGGATGCAGCTTCGTGATCTATGATAAACCAAGTACCCCCATCATGTTCCCTTTCTGGAGGGCATTAAAATTTTATAGCTATTGTGAAATTGTTCACCATAACACTTCCGTCCATACACTGAGGGTCCTAAATCTTGTCATCTTTACAAGTCCAGTAGATGCATAGCAATGGTACAACCTTTCCTTTAATTCGGATTGCTTCCTTACAAGGGAGGTTTAACATCCTATATGTATAAGGACCATTTGATTTTTCCCAGGATGGCCTGGGATTGCATTTTGCTGTTTTCCTCTATTTGATTGTTTATCATAACTGATTTTTTTAGTGTTCCTGAATTTGGGGGATTTATCACTTCAGACTTTCCTTGGTCAATGAATGATCTCACACCTCCCTCCCCACTGGCCCACTTCTACTGGAGCTAAATCTGGGTCAACAAAGGAGAACATGGTTTGCATATTATGATAGGATTGGAAAGAGTTAGGAGAGTGCCCTGCAGACAAACGGCATTGGGACCCTCAATACCTCCTTTCATCTACCCTGCCTTCAGGGGACCCCTTTGGTCCCCGTACCTCTTCACACCTTCCTAGAGGGCTGCAACTCTTTCCAGCCTTCCCACCTCCAGGGACTACCCCCTCCCTCCTCTGTCCACACTTCTGTTTCTGAAATCCAAAGGATGACTTGCTCCCTTCCTTAAAACCTTTCAATGGCTTTCCTTTGATCTGAGGATAAACTAAAACTTGGCTTAGCTTAAAGGGGTCTCTATGAACTTCTCCCTCCTGCTGGGCGAGCCCAACAAGCTAGCCCAGGCGAGGACTGCTCCCAGTCTCCATCCCTCTGAAAATCTTCCCTCCCGCTCCACCCTTGCCTTGCAAGGCTGCTCCTTCCTGAAGAGGTCCTGGCTTTATGGGTTCATGTTAACTCCTCCAGCCAGACTTTCTGGGCCTCCTGCCCCCAAGTACATTCGAGGATGACACTAATCTAAGCACTTGCTTTTAGCCACCAAGCCTTTGTAACACCCCAAGGGTCGGCTATCTCAGTTCATGAAAAAGAAACCTGAAGCCCATCACGGGTTAAGTTCCGATAGAATTCTAGGCCCTTTGGGTTCAACCCCACCTCCGCTGTAAGATCCCTACCTCCCTTACTTTCCACCCTGAGACCTGTTAGTGACATTACATTTTCTTTTATTTTGTTTTGTCCTGAGTGTCTCTTGTATTGAAGTTTAAGCCTAGTGAGGGCAGGGACTGTCCCTCTGAGTCAAATTGAATCTAGTGGATTCAAAGCGAATCTAGAATCAGTTTACCCATCAGGAAAATGGGGATGACGATTACCTAGCTGGATAAGTCATGGGGAGGTCAGATGGATGAAATGACCAGCCAGGGAGGGGAGGGGGACGCCTGGGTGGCTCAGTCGGTTAAGCATCCGGCTTCAGATCAGGTCATGATCTCACGGTTCGTGGGTTCGAGCCCCACATCAGGCTCTGTGCTGACAGCCCAGAGCCTGGAGCCTGCTTCAGATTCTCTCTTACTCTCTCTCTTTCAAATAAATAAACATTGAAAAAATAATTTAAACATTTTCTTGAAATGACCAGTGAGAGTGCTACGCATAACAGGTGCACTTGGGGCTCCCCTGGCCACCTTGTGCCCTCTCCCCATTATCCTGCCCCCAAAGCTTCCTCCAAAAGCTCTAATTTCTTCTTCCCACTTTTTACTTCTCTCTTTTGCCTCAGGTGTGCGTTCTCAGGCACACCAGAAGGTTCTGGCTCTGCTCCGCCATGGAAAGTAAAGGCATCATGAAAGCCGATGGCCAGGCGGCAAAGCCAGGCCAGCCCTCAAAACCCGTGGCTGTTGTGAAGCCCATGAGATACGTGACCCCAGCTTTTACAGATGACGTCGGACAGAGAGACCAAGGCCCCCGTGAAGGACGAAGCCAGCAGGCCGAGCGAGGTCGCCTCAGGGGGTCAGACCTTCCCGGAGAGAGACGCGTGCCCAGACCCAGTCTGCGTGTGGAGTCGGATCACCGTGCCGAGCCCAGACACCGTGTGGAAGGAGAAGCCAGGCAGGCCCCATCCTTCGCTTCTACTGGGGCAGCGACAGGGCACGGCCAAGACGCAGGCCTCCACGCGGTGCAGCCTGGGGTCGGAATCCAGGTGGTGCCCGATGCCTCCGGGTACTGGGTCCTCACAAATTCCCCCACTTCAGCCATCTATCCCTGCCTAGGGTTCCGACCTCCGGAGGGTTCTAGTTTGCTCTTTACACAGACCCCGTCCGGTACCTTCGTGTACGGGGTCCCAGAATTTTTTACCCACATTGCGCACTGACCTCCACCACTTCCCACCAGAGTCTGTCTGGGCTGGGCGTCAGTCCCAGCCCAAAGCCAAGTCCCCATTTCTGTCCCCACTCAGCCGCCCCACCGTGTTGTTCAGACTGAGCCTGTGAGTCTGATCCCATGTCCGCTTCCCATGCCCCTCCGATGTCGCCTCCTTTTGTTTTACCAAAGATGTACATGAGTTTGATCCCTCTGTGCTTGCTGAAATAAATCCCCAAACTCCTCTCGTCTTCTCCTGTCTCAGTCTGTTCGGGCTGCTATAATAAATAGCACAGTCTGGGAGGTTTATAAACAACAGACATTTATATCTCACAGTTCCGGGGGCTGGGAGTGCAGATCGCCGGCAGATTCTTTGTGAGAACTCACTGTCTAGTTTATAGATAGCTGTCTTGTGTCCTCACGCGGCTGGAGGGGTGAGGGCGGCGGGAGGAGGGGTGTGGGCGCTCTCTGAGACCCCTTTTATAAGGGCACTAATCCCACTCACGAGGGCTCAGCCTCCGAATACCATCACACGGGGGTTAGGATTCCAACATGGATTTTGGGAAGGCACAGTCAGTGTACGTATGCCTTCACCACCACCAGATTTTTCAATCCTGAGATGCATAACTGCTACCCGTGGACACAGCGAAGGAGCAAAAAAAAAAAAGGGGGGGGTGAGAAGTCACACCAAGGAAATAAGAAGCCATAGAACATTCAGAAAAAGAATTTTAAAGAGCATAATTAATATCCTCAGAGAGATAGGGGGTGATAGGCTATCTCTGACATGTACTTCACATAAAAAGCCAATTAGAAGATGCTGGAAAGGAAAAGGTTGTTGGAATACACAATTATGTGATGTGACTCGCGCGAGGGACAGGACTGACGAGCAAATCAGCAAACTCGGGGCTTGGGCAGAGGGAGCCCCCAGAACGTGGCAAAAGAAAGGCGAAAGGTTTGAAAACTACTCACACCCACGTAGGGACGTCTAACACGGAAGAACAGAATATTTGGGCGATAGCGGTGTATGTCAACTGGCTGACTTCTCCGCCCTGAAGAAACACGCGAATCCTGAGCCGGACGCAACCCCACACACCTGGAGGAGGTGTGAGCAAGAGAAGGTTCCAGAAACCATCTGAGGGATGAGCCCCATGAGGAAAGCAGGATTAAGGCTGACATCAGACTTCCGTTGGCAGCACCGGTGAACCCGAGAAAACAGTGGGGAGGCCCCCTCCACGCTTGGAGAGGAAATACCTGAGTCTAGGGTTCGAAAACCAGCCAGAGGTGCGCTGGGGCTCGGGACCAGGTGGTGCATAGACGGGAGGTTGGGGAGATCCCGGAGCCTCTTCACCTGCGCAGGAAGGGTGGGGGGATGGGAGGAGGGCGGAGAAATGAGAAAAGGGGCCTGAACGAGAGGCTAATGCAACTGGACCTCAGGTGTGGGCTTTCTCTGAACTTTATTGTCCACAAGCTAATGAAGCCAGTTGGAGTTGAGTGTTTGGTTACCTGCAGTGAAAGCACAGACGTTTCTCAGCCGGGATTTAAGAAAACAAAAAAACAAGAAGAAATTCGGAGGAAGACGTGGGATGCAAGAGGGACTAGTAAGCAGGGAAATTAATAAACTGTATTCTTCAATTTCAGTAAGTATGATTCTGGAAAAAAGATGAATAAGTTGACATTAAAATCCCAGACGCCATTGGCATAGAAATTGCAGTGCGGGCGTTCGGGGGGGGGGGGGGGGGGGGGGGGGGGGGGGGTGGAGCTCAGGAGGAGTTAAAAAGTACTATAATTCTTATAGGAAGGAGCAATGGAATTCAAAACCTTTTAAAGTCTGAGGACCCACTGGTAAGCACTACATGAACTGAACCGGAACGCATGCTTTCAAACAGATAGAGGAAAATGTGGATCAAAGGAAATTTGGTGAATCAAACAAAAGGCATAAGGGGGTTAATAGGAACCAGGAGAGAGCATGACCCATTCCCAACGCTAAATAAGAAATGAGTAACTTGACGGCGGCTTCCGTGGGAATATTTTAAATGTTTCGCCATGAAGCGGGGCATTTCCTGTAGGTTTCTCATACTAGGCTTGATCCAGTTGAGATCATTCCCATCCTCTCAGAGTTTGATAAAAGGCTTATCATGAATTGGATTTTGCATTTATTAAGTAGGCTTTGACTGGTTGGCTTGAAGACTCACTTGTAAGAGAAAACGTCCAAGGAGATGAAGAGAATTTTTCCCATGAGCGATTTTTTTTTTTCTTATGTACTCAACCACCCTCTTAAGTAAGCCCTTCTCCTTGGGCTTTTATTGCAGTACCATCGTTTTATTAAAATTTCAGTTTCCATCGTACCAGTGTGAGAGGAGCGTACCATCACCGGAACAGGAAACGTACGAAAAGACAAAGAGAAAATGTCTTCTCTCCCTCTCCTTTCCTAGTGTTTTTTCACTGTAATCATACAAGGCTACACAAACATAAGTGTACGTTAAGAGCCTTCTTTGTGGTTTGACTTTACAAAAATGGGATGTACTTTCCTTCCAGGGTCTCATGGAAGTGATGAGGTGCCCGGGCAGGTAACACAGGTGTGGCAGGTGGGGGCGGAGGGGATGGAGGCTGGGACCTCGCTGGAGCCCATTGGGGCATCTCCGATACGCCAGCGTTCACCCTGACACAGCTTCTGGTCAACGCATGTGTCACCACCTCTCCAGTAGCCGGGTATATTGCTGGGGACGCTCTGCTGGTGGCTCCCATTCCAGGCCGCCTCCACCCCCAGATGCATGGCTGAATGTTTGCACACGGCAACTTAAGGATCTGGCCTTCTGATTTTACACAATAAATTCTCAAAGTGAGATCCCTTTGTCACACGGCCATATTTTATTTTAATAGATATTAAGAAATTGCATTCAAATTAGGTTGTATCAATGTCACTTCCCACCAGCAGTATATGAGGCACCTATTTCCCCACAGTCTTCCCAGCAATAAATGCCTGCGGTCTGTAATTTTTGCCAATCTCCTGAATAAAAATATGTCATTATCGTTCTAATTTGAATTGTCTTGACTACTAATAAGGTTTAGTACCTTTTTATGCATTTATTGGCCGTTTTTATTTCTTTCTCTGTTAATCGCCAATATATAGCCTCTGCGCAATTTTCTATTGGGTTTTAAATCTTTTTCTTATCCATTCGTAGGAACTTCTTATATATTAGAAATAGTGATATTGTTCCTGTGTCCTGAAGACATTTCCCCCCTCCCTGGGCTGTTCCTGCCACGGGCTCTGCACCACCCCACCCCCAGGGTCTCATTGGCCATAGCAGGTGGCCCCTTGCAGCAGCTCGGAAATTGTTTTCTTCGTCATTTCAAGACCGCCCTCAGTCGCTGTGCTTTTGTTAATGGGATGTTCATCCTAAAACCTGAAGACCACTGGTCTCTCTATTAAGCATATTATCAATATGTGTTATAAATATATTGAAATCTACTGGCTGCTATCACCAAGTGACATGCGTCTCTGAGCTTTCATGTTAAACAAGGAATCAAGAAGCACGTTTGGCACCTGAACATCATCTGACAAACAAGGACATCTTTCAGGACCTGGAAGTACATTCCTCAAAAGGATGGTCTCGAGGGCGCCTGGGTGGCTCAGTCAGTTGAGCGTCTGACTTCGGCTCAGGTCATGATCTCGCGGTTTGTGGGTTCGAGCCCCGCGTCGGGCTCTGTGTTGACAGCTCGGAGCCTGGAGCTGCTTCAGATTCTGTGTCTCCTTCTTTCTCTGACCCTCCCCTACTCATGCTGTTTCTCTCTCTCAGAAATAAATAAAACGTTTGAAAAAAATTTTTTTAAAAAGGCTGGTCTCAGTGCTGTGAGGGATACTAGGGGACCCGGCCATCTGGACCCCCCACTCTGGAACCTTTCTCCTGCCTACTCATGTCACTGACCTACCTGATCCTGGTCTAGATGCAGGTCTGAGCAGCAAAAATGTGGACGTCCCTCTGCCCTCAGGCAGGCAGGGAATCGCATCCCGCTCACCTTCAGTCCCCTTGCCAACACGTCCGGAGCCCATTTTTGCTTCACTTCTACTTAGAGACGGCAGGAATGCCAGCTCATGACTTACATCCTGTTTTTTCTCTGATCTGTCCTTCCCTCCCACCTCCACCCCTGCTGGCCATGAGTGGGCAAGTCCCACCCAAAGGTAACCCTCCCACACCCCCCACTTCTGCCTCTCCTCTGCCGGCTCATGGGATCTCACCTTCCCTGGCAGGGTGGGGAAAGTGGTCCAGATGCTTTGACGCCCCCTTTGTAGCAAAACACTCTCCCCAGAATGCACTGGGGCTCTGGATGTTGATCATCAAAAATGAGTATTTCAGGACTTAAAATTTTTCTCCACTACAGATCGCAAGCGTGTATTTTGAAAGTTAACAGAAAATGTCCAGCAAGCGGTAGAGAATCAGCTCATTACTTTTGAATTTGGAATCATGAAGCAACCCTGCCCCACCGACAGCCCGAGTGTGGCAAGCTATGGAGGGCTCCAGAATGTTGGGAGAAGGACAGGGGTAAGGACTGGGATCAGATTTGGAGGCTCGTAACACCGGCTGAAACGAACACACCAGCTTATTTATCTCTCACCCGGGAGAAGCTAGGAGCTATGCCATGCAGATCTTATAGGACAGCTTGGGGGTCTTTAATCTTGGTCCTTTTCCAGTGTGGCTTCTGGGCACCTAATTACCTCACAATCCAAAATGGCGGCAGGAAGGCCTCGTTTTAAGAAGTGGGAAACTAGGAAGCGATAACAGAGTAACCCGTGAGTCCACCCCCTTGGCCACCCCCGTAAATCAGCCTTCTCTAAAGCCGAGCACGGCCTCTTAGCCTTGGATCTCAGTAGCCCGAACTTTCTTACACGGTCACACCTGATTGCGAGGGAGGAGGGGGAACGAAACATTTAACCCAAGCCCATTGCTATTCCAAATAATAGCAGATAACGCTCTCAATAATGCTTCTTAAGGAAGCAAGGGAGGGTAGATACGA